GTAAATAACGCAATTAATCAAAAACTGTATCTCATCTTCAATTGTATTATGACAAAATAGAAAAAAATGTTTCATCTAACAGTATTGGTGGTTTTGTATAACGCCCCGTCAAAACAGAAGCCGACAGCCCTGTAGATTCAAAAGGTTGTATGTACGATGTTTACCGTCTTTTTCGTTCGACCTGCATATGAGGGAACCTTCACGACGAATAACGTTAACGGTATTTTTATCTGCATTTGACGTTCAAGGGGAGTCAAAGAACTACTTTGTGAAATAGTTTTAATGTAACACCAATGTGGCCGTTTGGTTCGAAATTAAAATGATCTATATAAGGATAATTAAGTAACCTCTTGCAGCAGAGATTTTTTACATGTAAGATCGCGTCAATGAACTTCGCTATATTAAATGCTGTATGTGCCGTTTGTGTGTACTCTTTGTTATATAACCACAAGGGTTTTACTTTCCCGTGATTTCGGCATCGTTACCTCAAATTACGTTCATTTCAATTTTGCTATAACACCGTGTAGAAAGCCACGCCACAAAATCCGTGAAAAGGAAAACTGAAGAGGTTTTTTTTTTGCGAAAACAAGGCACCAGGAACATCTGCTTCTTCTTGCTGGAGATAGATTATATGTCAGCACCTTTCCGTGCACTATATTGTTTGGTGCTAACAATTATCAAAAAAGACAATTTGATACTTTTACTTGTCTTGGTCGTATTTTCTAAGCTTCGAAGCCGACATCCTATGTCAAATATTATCAACAATCCGTACGAAGCTTTCTACACGGTGTACAGTAAAACGGAAAAGTATCATGAGTTGTCCTTTGTTTCTCTCATTATGCTGACCAACACAGTTTTTTCAATACTTTGTTATGTGTATATGTGAAGTCAATAATACGTCGTCGAATGTTTTAGTTTTTATTTTAATAACAGAATTATAATTTGTCCCTAATGAAACAAAGTGTATCGTTATAAAGAATGGGTCATGCGTTTAACTGAGATTAGAAATGATAGGATTAGCCTAGTCTTTCATTCTGAGGAATAGGATTATATGCTAAGGACAGTGATTTCCTTCGATTCTTATGAATATAAAGGCTTTGGCTTCTGACTGTCATCCATTCTTTGGAATATAAACATAGTCTAACAATTATCTCCTATTCTTAGGAATATAAGCTTAGGCTTGTGATTGTCTTATTCTCATGAATATAGACTTAGGTTTGTGATTGTCTTCCATTCTTATGAATATGGACTTAGGCTTGTGATTGTTTTCCATTCTTATGAATAAAGGCTTTGGCTTGTGATTGTCTTCCATTCTTAGGAATATAAACTTAGGCTTGTGATTGTCTTCCATTCTTATGAATATAGGCTTTGGCTTGTGATTGTCTTCCATTCTTATGAATTAAGGCTTTGGCTTGTGAATGTCTTCTGTTGTTAGAACTGACTGTCTTCTATTCTTAGAAATATATGGTGAGGCTCGTGGCTGTCTTCTATTCTTAGGAATATAGTCTTAGCCTGTGACTGTAATCCATTCTTAGGAATATAGGCTGAGGCCTGTCTTTGGCTTGTGACTGTCTAACATACTTAGGAATATAGGCTTTGGCATCGGACTGTCTTCATTTCTTAGGAACTTAGGATTATAGGCTCGGACTTATCACTGTCGTCCATTCTTATGAATATAGCCTCGGGCTAACTGTCTTCAACTCTTAGGAATATAGGCTGAGGCTCGTGACTCTTCAATTCTTAGGAATATAGGCTTATATCAAACAAAGAAGATGCGGTATAATTGCCAATGAGACAACTCTCCACCAATTGACATCGAAGTTAACAACTATAGGTCACCATACGGCCTTCAACAATGAGCAAAACCCATACCGCATAGTCAGCTATAAAGGGACCCGAAATGACAAATGTAAATAAATTCAAACGAGAATACTAACAGCCTGATTTGTGTAAAAAAAACAATGGACGAAAGACGAATGTGATATACAGCAACAAACGAAAACTACTGAATTACAGGCTCCTGACTTGGGGCAGGCGCATACAGAATGTGGCGGGGTTAAACATGTATGCGGGCGCCAAACCCCCCTTACCCTCAACATGGAACAGTGGTGTAACAGTACAATACACTACAAACCAGTAAAAGTCTGAAATGGCCTATATCTGTACTCGACTGTACTGATTTTTACTCGACCAGTCTGAATTGGTCTGAATTTTACTCAACATTACTCTACCCCAGTCTTAACCATACTTGACTGTACTGATTTGTACTTGACCCTCATCTTTGCCATTGAAAATAGTCTGAACTATTACTCGACCAGTCTGAAACAGTAGTATAGGGGGAGGGTTGAAATCTCATAAACATGTTTAACCCCGCCGCATTTTTGCGCCTGTCCCAAGTCAGGAGCCTCTAGCCTTTGTTAGTCTTGTATTACTTTTAATTTTAGTTTCTTGTGTACAATTTGGAGTTTAGTATGGCGTTCATTATCACTGAACTAGTATATATATTTGTTTAGGGGCCAGCTGAAGGACGCCTCCGGGTGCGGGAATTTCTCGCTGCATTGAAGACCTGTTGGTGACCTTCTGCTGTTGTCTGTTCTATGGTCGGGTTGTTGTCTCTTTGACACATTCCCCATTTCCATTCTCAATTTTATTAACCCATTCTCGACCTGTACTCGACCTATTTTTTCCGTCTAAACCATACTCGACCAAAGGTCTGAACAATACTCGACCAGTCTGAACCATACTTGACCAAATAACCTCTACTTTTTCTAAATTTTAACTGTTAAAATAAATTTCTTTTTAACTGACATGACAACAGCCACAATAAAATAAAGATATATTATAAAAACAGATTTTTACATTCTTACATGATTCTCAGATTTATCGAATAGAGATAGTTAAATCAAATTATCTTATATAATAATTTAATAATATTAATTCTAAAGTTTTAGAGTTTTGTTAAAAAAGATTTTCTTTTACCTAAAAACCACACCTACACTGAGGGTAATTAAACCTTATTAAGGTGCTTCCTGTTTGGCATGTGTGTTTTTTTAAAATTAATTTTCCTAAATTCCTAAATAAAAACTACATAGGTTTCATGGTTACATACAAAATATGTGCAATAGTTATATAATTATCTTTTTAATGAGGTAACAACAGCCAACAACATCACTGAAATTGTTTAACCTTATTTTAGAAATATATCTATTATTATAATTTGGGATATATTAAATTAATAAAATTGTTCTTCTGATTAGTGGTGAAGTATAAAGTAATACCTCCTGCTTGGGGCAAACTTATGAAAAAGATCACACCTGGTCAGAGAGTACTAAATTCTAAATAACATTCATTCAAAATTGCAACATCCCGTGAAACTTAAATCGCAAGGCCTTTTGAATTCACTAGATAAGTAATACACAAGTTTAAGAAAAATAGGGCTTTCTTTTAACCTGTAAAACACACATGTACTGAGGTAATTAAAGTGCTTCTTGTATGCCATGTCTTTAATTTTGACAAAAATTATTTAAATTTAATTGAAATAAATTTTTACTGTAACTTTGGAACACATTTCCTTTTTTTAAAAGTTTATCACAGGATTACTATGGAAGTTCTATTATCATGATTATATTAAATTCTTGGTTTAACAAAACAAAGGTGTCATTTTTTAAATTGCTTTATATACTATTTTATATATATTTTAATAAAAAAATGTTCACTGCATTATTAACTAAACTCAACTGACACCATAAATCTATACGGGGCTTAAGTTAATGGTGAAAATTGTCCAGTAACCATAAAATATATCTGAAACATTCAAAAAATTTTGAATAACATTGAAAATATTAGTCACAATTCAGTTTTGAGATTATTTGATCAGCTTGTTTTATTTTTATTTTAAAAGTGATATATATGTATGTATATAAGTGTTGATGAATATGGTGATGAAGTTATATTATTTTTATTGTGAAATTTTGGTTTCAATGCTATATTGAATACATTTTTAATTTCAAATTTTTGTTCCTAAATTGATGAAATACAATAGATAGATACAAAAAACAGGTCTAGGCTGGTTAAGACTTGGTCGAGTATAGTTCACACTAGGTCGAGTATGGTTCATACTAGGTCAAGTATGGTTCAGACTAGGTCGAGCATGGTTCAGACGCGTATAAAATGGTTAAGTAAGGGTCGAGTACAAGTTCAGACTGTTAAGTATGGTTCAGACTACAGTCGAGTATTATCAAGTAAATTTCAGACCAATTTAGACTGGTCGAGTAAAAATCAGTACAGTCGAGTACAGATATAGGCCATTTCAGACTCTTACTGGTTTGAAGTGATATATGAACAAACTATGAAAATCAGTTGAAAAGGGATTAACTCATCAGATCGATACAAAGCACAAAAACAAGAAACGAAATCACAGACTTGCCTTTGGCTTGTGACTGTTTTCCATACTTATAATTTAGTCTAAGGCTTGTGATTGTTTTCCATATATAGGAACATATGCTAAGGAAATTGATTTCCTTTGATTCTTATAAATATATAGGCTTAGGTAAGTTATTCATCTGCCATTCTTATACGAATATAGGCGGAGGCTAGTGATTATCTTTCATTCTTATAAATATACGCTATGGCTTTTGTGACTGTCATCCATTCTTTGGAATATAGTCTTAGGTTAGTGGTTTCCATCTTCCAACCTTGGATATCTTAATTTCGTGTAGCATAAACTATCCTAATTTCGTGTATCATAACATATCTTAATTTCGTGTAGCATAACATATCTTAATTTCGTGTAGAATATAGGCTTAGGCTTCTGACTGACTTATATTCTTAGGAATATTGACTCACACTTCAAAGGAGGTAGGTGTCAAACAAAATACAAACAGCTTTGGTTAAAGACGGATGGTCATTTGATGTCATTAAACCTTACAAAAAAAGTCATGCGATAAGATAACTCTTAATGCAAAACACAACAGACTACAAATAAGTGATAGTTATGTGAGTGCACGTTGACAAGGAGAAGAGTGAGATTATATGTAAAATTAACTTTCTTCCTTAGCTAAGTTTACAATGACATTATACCGGTAGTTATCGTACTATACGCGAAAGGAAATGAATTATTTTGATAAAAGACTGTAAACATGTTTGTAGTCGCAACACAGGAACGTATTTATAAGTGATAAGATAACATATTGTACTGTGACACGTAAAATCCACAATGGCCGGTTCTTGTAACGGTAAGTCTAACATTCTTTATTATCATGTAGTTATTATCATTAACGCTGTCTGTTATTTTTTATTTATTTTTATACAACATATATATATGTGTACATATATGGCACTAATTTACTGCAATAAGTGGGTCAGTTTGTTATGAGTGGTTGATGTTGTTTACTTCTGTTTTGATGGATACTAAATATAACAATTAAGAATGTAAAGAGGGACCCTCTCCATATTCATTTCAAAACTGACGCATATCGGATAATTATGTACTCAGTTAAATTTAGAATAGTAGCTCCATCCCTTTACTAAATTGTCAATAAAAATGATCGGTTGCTCATTATCCCCTCGTTGAATACCAAGTAATAATTCAGGTAATGTTTAGTCACAATTTTTTATGTTTTTTAAGGAGGGCATCCTACTTCTTTATTAAATTTTTACTGAATATATACTATAAGCATTGCCGTATTATACTGTGGTTCTCCCATGTAATTCGCTAATGTATTATGATTAAATCAATCTGATTAAAATACAGACCCTGTGTGTCCAAGATTTGTCAGGTTGTTTTTACACATGTAGGCAATGTAAAACAGAGCAGTGCTATACTTTCACGTTTTTTCATGGTTTTTTCTTTCCCACTTTTTTAAATGACGATTTATGTTCTGTTAAATATTTTTACCATCACCTCCTTCCTTTAAGGATTTGCCAATAGTATATTTTGGATTGTCTGGGAGGAGGCAGGATGATTTTTTTGTGAACGGAATATTCATACACCCTTTGTTGTCTGGATTATTTGTATTCATACGAAGAGCAGTTCATTAAACATTTCTTACTCCATCAGGAAAATCTAGAGTCATGAAATCATATAGAATATTATAAAGAACATGTTTCCATAAGATAATTATATTATCTTTTTGAGGAAAATCTGAAAATGAGTTTTTACTGTAAAAATAACTGAAATTTGTTTTTTTTTTCTTCAATATTTTACTTGATTTTTATGAGACATCTTTACGTTAAACGTTTTTGAAAAATGTAAATAATACATGTATATCAATAAATTCGCCGACCTAAATTGAAATTAATTAGGGTTAGGGTTAGGGTTAGTAAGTATTTTAAATACTTTTCCATGGATTTTATCGCAGGCAAAACACATTCCATATAGTATTCTAGTATAGAACCTAGTATGACAAAATGTGCAACAATTCAATAGAGAAAACCAACGGTCAGATTTATACCACAACAATGATCGAAACCAAAACATGACAGAAATCACCAAACGACAACTACTGAATACAGATTTCTGGCTTATGACAAAGAATTTTAGGTGTTTAACACGATAGTGAGTGCTCGGCTCTCACCACAAACTGTGACAATGGTGCATCAATACAATGTAAAAACAAACTAAAAAAATCAGTTAGAAAGGGTTATAACACAAATTATCAAAATGATAAAAGACTTTAAGTACCGATCTTAGAGTACAAACAGTTATTGAAAGCTACTACAGGGTCCAATATCAACTAACAAATAAAACGTTGTTCTCCCAGAATAAAACGCCAATCAGTACACCTCTTACTGATTTAGTGAACAGGCGTCGTAAGCATTCTTAGAAAGGCATGATATGGCCTGATGCAAAACCATGAAATGAGTATAGACAGGATGTAGTTGGACCATAAGTGTTAATACCTGAATGCCAATACAATCATGCTGATAAGAATTCATGTATCAAAATTTTAAAAATAAAATCAATGAATATACCGATAAAGACATTATTCAAAGATCTTACTTATAATGCCGATTTATAACCTTTAAGAATAGGGATGATGCCTTAATTATTGAGTTCTTTAAACAACATCGCTGTAAAATTAGGATGTGATATCCAATTTGATTTTAAATTTCTACAAGTACAGCCAGATTCCCAAACCAAATATAGCGATATATAACTTTCTGGATCAAGTATGAAATACGGAATTGAAGTATATAGCGATATATAACTTTCTGGATCAATATATATAAGAAGATGTGGTATGAGTGCCAATGAGACAACTCTCCATCCAAGTCAAAATTTATAAAAGTAAACCATTATAGGTTAAAGTACGGTCTTCAACACGGAGCTTTTGCTCACACCGAACAGCAAGCTATAAAAGGTCCTTAGAATTACTAGTGTAAAACCATTCAAACGAAAAAACCAACGGTCTAATCTATATAAAAACGAGAAACGAGAAACACTTATGAACCCCATCAACAAACAACAACTACTGAACATCAGATTCCTGACTTAAGACAGGTGCAAACAATGCAGCGGGTTTAAACGTTTTAATGGTACCAAACCTTCACCCTTATCTGAAACAATAGTGTAACATCACAACATAGAAAGACACAAGTATGAAATACGGTATTGTAGTATATAGCGATATATAACTCCCTGGATCGAGTATCAAATACGGTATTGTAGTTAGTTTGGATGGATTAAAATATTAAGAAGAGTGTATCTACTCGGCTCGAAATTTGTGATGAGGATTTTTAATTATTGTATTATCATAACTATTAAAATATTAAATTTCGACAAAAAATAAACATTTCGTATAAAAATTTACTCAGACAATATAAAATATCTTTGTCCTCATTGTTTTCAAGTACCTGGCTATTTTATTTTTTCTATTAAAAACCTATCGTTGTATTTGTCACGTGTGTTCTTTGTGTTGTGTAGATTATTATTGCTTCGCATCACGGTGCGGAGCTATTAGTTTCAGTCGACATACACGCTATCTTGAAATAATTACTTATCACGTAAAGATTCTGATTGGTTGCTTTATGATGCGGCTAAGATACAGCTTCAGCTATTGGCTTAATTGAGTTAAAGAATTACAGACTTTTCTCGTCTCAGGATAAGACATCAAATGCCGGAAAATTAACTATGTGTATTTCAGTTCCGATCAACTGTCATTAATTCATCTTCGTTTTATTATGCAATATTGAAATATCAATTATTGATACGTGTTTATTTGCTTTTTTAATCTGCAATATGCACGATTTGTTTTGCTAAACAATGTTCCTATACAATGTTTACAAAAGCATTATCTGTATTTTATAACTTCTGCCAATCTAGGCACACCTCCAGAGTCGTGTCTATTTGTAAATGTTATAATTTTCAACAAGTAAAGTGAACCAAATTTTAAAAGCATGGGTGTATATCAATCAATATCTAAAAATACAACATTTCCAATACTAAATCAACAACCACATTACCTTAAATTATGATAGAGCGAAGCAGTCCACAGCTTTTTAGAAAGCTCAAACTTGTTTGAGTTATATTAAGTCGTTATGATGTTAGTACTATATTTTTACATTATAATACTCCCATGATCATATTCTCAAGTGTTTCCGTAGCTGAAATTCATGTAGAAAGAACACATGTAAACTTTAACAAATAGTTTTAAGATATAAATAATGATGTAGAACACGGAAATGGATTTTTATAATGTTTTGCGAAACATTGGATCAAATTTAATTACTGAAACGATGGATTACGCATTTATAATCGTTAAGTTTATCAAGGCCTTTTTTGGTCATATAGTTTGTACACATAAGTTTATACGTCATCTGTATATACCCAAGAAAAAAACATGTAAAGGATTTACTCTTGTAGAAAAATAGGGTAGATAGGTAGGAATTATTTTTTTTGGTGCTTATTATTTATCCTTAAAACACAGCAGACTTGCAATTTTGTCACTTTACTGACTATTTTATGTGCCATAAAAAAAACCCAACTCATTTGAACTAAAAAGGAAACCTTTCACACGAGTTATTTCTATTTTTGGTGGAGATTAATAGTACGTGTTTTTGATACAGTCTAAATGCGTACACTACATAACTTTGAAGTGATTTATTTGTTTTATGTTAGTTTTTTCAATGGGAAATAATAAACGATTCAAGATTACATGTAAGTCATATTCGCATTTTTTTCAGTTAAATTTTCCTAAATTAATGCATTGCACACTGTAAATATAAGTTTTTTTTAGACCGTGTATAACGTGGAACGTGGAACGTGTAATAGTGGTCTAAGTATTTACTTTGGTGTTCCAAATTTTAAATACATGTGCACCTTAAGAAGGCAATGTGTGTACTACTTGGACGAATATTGTGTACATCTTGGACTAAAAGTGTGTACCCTTGAACACCTAGTGTTACACGTTGAAAGCATCCTGGATCTTGTTCCAGCATTATCTGTTAATATCAAGAACACTTAATGTAAGGATCTTGATAGGGGATCTTTCATTTCTGTACTCTTTCATTTTTAGGTCATGCTTCTCTATTCTTTATATTTTAGAACCATTCTCTATTCATAATTGTGGGAACATTTTTCTCTATTCTTTTTTTTTTGGCCCATTTTTGTCTATTGTGTATTGTTTAGGCCCATTTTCTCTAACTAAGCCCATTATTCTCTATTTTGTAAACCCAATCCAGACTCTCTAATATGTTCAACTGGAACATATTTTTACATATTCCTTTCTTTTTAACATTTTAATGGCCTTGAAATAGTAAATATTTTATTGATTGAAATTGAAGTAATAAAAGAAAAAAGTTCCAATGTCCCACTGCGTTGCACATATTTTATCTGTCCAAGGCAATAACAAAATTATAAATATCTTACAAGAAATGCAGTTATTTGATCGATAATTTCCAAGGGGTATAACTCAAAAGAATAGTTGGTCGGCAGTCTTCAATGACCTTGCTGATATAAGCAATTCATAAGAACTTCATGAAAATTCGACGAGAAATGTAGGCGACGGAGTGCTTCCGATGCAATGTGCAATACAAATTACATTTCACTGAGACATACTGTAACTCCTGTAGAAATAGTTGATCAGCGCTGATTTGCAAACTCGACTAAGACCTTGCTGATACAAATTTCATTACAATCCTACAAGAAATGTAGATGTGAGAGTGCTTACATTGCAATTTTCGTCATAATTAATATTTTCAAGGGCATAACTCTTAAAGATAGTTGATCGTCACT